TCTGTGTTGCTCTCTACTCTTCCCCTCACCCCCTGCTCCCTTCTTAACTCCCCCCACTCATCATCATAATCATCATCATTGCCCACTCTATTTCCCCTGGCTTAGTTCCAGGCCATGTTCATTCCACTTGGAGGCTTGCTACTGACAGGTGGCAGTTAATCCCAGACACCCGCACCATACAATCTGACAATATGCCAGGGAGAGGTGGGCACTGTTCAAGGTGACCAGAGCTAACAGGGAAGAATATAAATGGCTCTAATTAGTCATTATGTCAAGGATAGATGGGTAGTATTAATACTAGGCCCCAACAATGGGGTGACTGAAACACCCACCAGCGTAGAGGGCAAAACTGGAGTCCACTCAGGAGAGCTTCCAGTCAATAGAGGTAGATACGCAGATAGACCATCAGCTGACTCTTGAAGGAAAGCAGAAAAACCGAAGACCCCTACTGTTGCCCTTAGGGAACGGAATGAGAGAGTTCCAGGGACAGGAAGCAGTGGATAATAAGGTAGGGGGATTGAATAAGGAGGAGAAAAATACAAGGACAGGAAAAGATCAGAGCCATATCCCTTCTAGTATAGGGGAAAGGTATAGGAAGATTTGATACTCAGACTTCAGCTCTCTCCTGCTCCCACACTAGCCCTCCAGTTCAAGACTGAAATCCACATAGGTTGCAGCGACTGGTCTTCCAAAGGGGTCCTGGAGAGAAGAGATTCAGTAAAAAAGACAAGAGCCCCAGAGCCCCAGAGGTTGAGGTAGGAAAGAGCGTGATGCTAAATTGCCTACTGCTGTAAGAATATGTTTGACATTTAGTTGGTTCCTAATCAAACAACCCAATATCAAACATATCACATAGAAGCAGGCAGGAGAGCTTTGGTGGTCCTCAGCCTTCCTCCCCACTGCAAAGAAAGGACAGAGCAGAGACACCAGGCACCAAGCATGGCTAGATGGAGAGCCATCTCCTTGGGGAAGGGCACTGACCCTTGCTCTTTGCCTCCCAAGACAGCCGGCTCTTATTCATCTTCTCTTCGTGCCATCCCGGTCCCGGCTCCTCTCCTACTAGTGCCTGGCCTTCGCTGGATCACATTGGCCTAAAGCAGGAAGAATATCTGGCAGGGCTCCACATCTGGGCACCTATCCTTCCCCAAAGCTCCAACACGGAGCTTCTCCCCATCATGTCACGGCCCCAGTGCTCAGAGGATCAGCAGTGTCAGCAGCTCCTCATCAACCTTGCCACCTGTTCTCAACTCCCCTCCTGTTGCCCCAAGGCTTTGCCAGAGTGGGGGTGGGGACTTGCACATCCTGCTTTCCCTTTCCAACACCCACACAAGGCTGCTGACGGCCTTTCAGCAGACACCTTCCTGGAACCCTCCTGCTCTTAAGTATGACAGATCAGTAGCCATGAGAAACTTCCAGAAGGCTTGGCTGCTTCTTCCCACCATCTTGTCCCTTCTCACCTTCTCCCCATGTCCTCCAGGCATCCTCCGTAAAGCCACCTTTGGGTGTCCAGAAGAGAAGAGTGACCTGTCTCACTAGCAGGCTCCAGCCTGGGCTCCAGAGAAGAAATATGGTCTCTCCCGCCTGGCGGAATTAGAAGTAAGACTTTAGGAGGTCAAAGGGAGGGAGAAAACCCCCTCTGCCAGGAAACAGCCTGCAGTCCTTGGGACTCTCCTCTTCTGGGGCTTTTTACAACGCAAGCTCCTGGGCTGGCTTCTCTCATGGTCTTCCCTCACAGGGATCCAGCCTGGTGCCTGCTTTTCTGGGAGATTTTTCCTCTGAAGAGAATCAGGTCTGTTGAATGTCATGTGGCAGGCAGATCCTTCTCTCTACTGTGGCAGAAAGGAGCCCGAGTTATAGCTACACTGGTGGGGTGGGGGGCTTGGGTGGAAGTGTGGGGTGGGAGGAGGATGCTCTGCTTCAGCCCCCAGGCCTGTTCCATGTGTCCTTGTTCCCATTAGGCTGGACACCTCCACACCCCCTCAACACACACACACACAAACACATATGCCAACTCGACAGTGCCCTTGGTCTAGATCGATAGCTTGTCCCAAGCCCCAGTCAATTCCTATTGTGTGGCTCTTGCCTTCCAGGGGAAGACTAACAAATGGGCATACAAGCTCCAAGGTAGGCACCTGTGGTGTTGTCTTATGGGTTTCAGTCTGTGTGTAATTTTTACTTTCTTGACCTTCCTTTTTATCCTTAACACCCCCTCCCCCAAGTTCTAGTTCCCTTCTCTGGGAACCTTGATTGTCCTGGAGAACCACAGGCTGGAGGGAGAGAGGCTGGGAAAGGGACTAGCAGGAATTGAAAGGACTTTAGTATTTGGGGGCACTGGGGAAACAGAGGCAGAGACAGGAAACATTGATGTAAGGGATGAGTAGCTCTCTTAGGAGGAGACTGACAGGATGGCATATCCAGGCCGAAATCTCAGATTGCCTTTGATGAAAGCTTTCTAGCTCTCCTGGAAGTAACTTCTGTGTAGCCATTTCAAGCAATACTGAGTCCTTCTGAGCCTGAGGAGCTGGGTAAGGCACCAGCCACAGAGGGAAAAGGGGCTGGATGGGTATGACGGGGTGAACTACTCAGTTGATGTGATGAGAACGGACAGAGTAGGCAGAGAGGATCAGAGGAGATGGGCTCCGGAGGGGGCCGGACTGCCAATACTGGAGCCAGCCTGGCACTGACAAGCCCTGGGGAGAGAGGCCAAGGTCAGGGATCAAGGCAGAGGGGGCTGGGCATTCTGTGGGCCCAAATGAACAGAGGAAAGAGGAATAAAAGGGGTTGATGAGAGAGTGTGGTGGGAGGTCGGGGGGGGGGCAGCCAGGTAATGGAGAGGAAATAAAAACAGAAGGACTATCACAGGGCAGGAAAACATCATTATGACTTAGCATTTATTGGATATTATATGCCACTTCTCTGCTAAGTGCTTTATTTAATCTCCACAGTAATCCAGTGAGGTAGGTGTTATCTCCATTTTACATATAAGAAAACCCCTGTGACCCAGAAAGTTAGTTACGTGCTCAAGGCCACACAGGCAGTAAGTGACAGCCAGAATTCAAACCCAGTTCTGACATGTGGAAGCCTGTTCTCCTAACGCCAGGCTATGCTGTCATATATAAGAGGCGGGGGCGCAGAGGGGAGATAGATACAAGGGAAGATAAAAGGAGTGAGGGCAAGGTGGACCCGCAGGGAATAGAGGGCAGGGGAACAGGCAGAAGGAATGGGAGACTCAGCCAGGTTTGCGGGTCAAATCCAGGACATGTGTGTGGTTTTTCTCCTATAAAACTCTCATCATACTTGTCATGACTTGGTCAACGCCTGCCTCCCTGAGCAGCCTGTGAGCTCCGTGTCTTGTTTGGTGTCACAACACTTGAGTAGTTATTGACTACAGATAAGACGGCTTGGGAAGCAGGGCTGATGGGGACTGGAAGATGAATGGATATATAGAACAGAAAGACAGGCCTGGGATGGAGAATGACATTTGAGCTGCATAAGGGGGCTGGCCAGGGGGCCAGTAGGGGACCTGTGAAGGGCTTGGTCACAGGGAAATCTCCTAAGGGGGAAGAGGGAGGATACCTATTGCGTGCCAAGTGCTGGGCTTGCTCTCTACGTAATCTTATTTAATCCTCATAATGATCCTCTGAGATGGGTATTATCTCCACTTTCAGAAGAGAAAATTGAGGCTCAGAGAAGTAACTTACACATGGTGACACAATTAAGACGTGAAGTCAGACTTTGAATGCACACCTGACTCCATAGTGTGTGTTTTTCTCTTTATACCTTTTGCTGCTTCTCTGTGCTCCTCATCAGTGGGGTGTGTAGGG